GTGTGTGTGTGTGTGTGTGTGTGTGTGTGTGTGTGTGTGTGTGTGTGATTCAGAGCCTGACAGTGTGGAGCTGCAGGAAGCCATCAGTAAAGGTACCTTCCAGCATGATGTGACCAACCTGGAACCAGCTACCACCTACTCCCTCTACCTGAAGGCATACTCTCCTCTGGGAGCCAGCCAGCAGTCCCACACTGTGGTGACTACAACACTAGGGGGCGGTAAGAGCATGAAACACTGAAGGAACCGTGGGGGGTTCATTCCTGCTCTGCTTCCTTATTCATGTTGGTTATTCACTTCTACACCACAGTGAATCATATTGGTCATAATCCAAAAGATGAGAGAAAAGAGAAGATCAGTGAGAATAATATAAGATTCCAAAGTCCAGTATTAGACATTAGACAAGCTAGAGAAGTCATGTTGAAAACAAAAGAATCTAGATACAAGACAACTGAAACATCCCGAGATGCTCCATAGTACATGTTTACACAGATGACTCATGCATCACATGATGTTGTGGGGCAGTCAAATGAGTCACAGTGCAAAAACGTACACACATTACATGTTTCTGAAGAAAAGATGTGTGCTTAAGAGGTATAAAAACGTTTTTTATTAAACCAAGTGGTGTACACTAAATCTTTTGTGAGTTCCAGCTGATGTTTAAAGAGCACATTATGTAACCAGAGATCCAATAAAATTAAGAGAAATGAGCAGCTTCCATATATAAATAGTACATTTAGTACAAGTTTATGAGTCTATTTATGCAATAACATCACTAACTGGTAAATTAAAATTGCTCTGGTATAAAATGAAAAATGCCATCCCTCAATGGGTTCCTTCATAAGTCTTATTAATGTTTCTTTACTTTTGTTGGCTGATCTGTGCTCTTTTATATTCCCGTGTCTTTGTTGAGCTGAATCCACTTCCTGTCAGCTGCTGCTGACCACAGTTCTCAACCAAACCTGCTCTGTTCTCATTATCTCTTTTTTTTTGTCTCGTCTATATCAGCTTGTCTCTTTCTGTCTCCGCTCTCCAGTGCCGACCCCTCCCACCTTCTTCACCAAAGTGGTGAACTCCAGCGCCGTGCAGGTGCTCTGGGAGCTCCCCAGTAAGGCCGGCAAGGCTGAGGGCTTCAGGCTGTCCTACCGCAGGGTCCCCCATGCCGACTTCCAGAGGCCCATCCAGCTGCCCTCTCACATCAATGCCCACACCATCTCTAAGCTGGGTGAGTCTGTCTGTGTGTGTGTGTGTGTGTGTGTGTGTGTGTGTGTGTGTACGTGTGCGTGTGTGTGTGCGTGTGTGTGTGTGTGTGTGCTTCAGGAGCTAAGAGGTCCTCAGTTTTGTCTCTCAGACAGGGCTTTCTCCAAGGCTGGGTACAAACATTGCTTCCTTTGCTGCAGCTGACACATTCTAATCCCAACCATCACCCTAACAATGTGTGAAAATGAAATCTTGCCATGTTTTTGTTCATGGTGGCTAACTGTCCTAGTTACATGGAAATTAAGTGAAAACCACATGAATCAGTGAACTATACAGCAGGTCAGCATGAACAAAGTAGAAGAGTTGCTGATGGAATGAAAAAGAAATGAATAGAATAAACCATAAATATTCCCACATTATACCAAGATGTCTGAACAGAAGCCTCTGTCTTCGCCCCACATCAGTTACATAGTGACACCTGTAATGCCTGTAACCATAACAACACACTTATCTTCCCAACCTACTAGACAAAATGATGGAATTTGAATCTGAGACATCAGCTGCACTGAGACATCGGCCTTCTCCTGTTGTTTGATTCTGTTTCAACTTAACACCTCTCCTGAAAAACTAATTTACAAAATTTGAAAAGAATCACTTACACCCTGGTATGGGTGGTGTGTGTATTGTGTACATAATCAACAGTCATATTCCGATATAGAGTTTTCTTTTACAATTTTACATATATTATCTAAAGGTCTCTTTCTGCTGGTGACAGTGTCAAAGGTGAACCTACCAAGGTGACAAATCAACAGCAGCACTGAATTTGATTAATTGTAACTAAATACTGACAGTACGTATATATATATATATATATATATATATATATATATATATATATAATAATATATAACAATAAAAGTAGAGAGTCTTAAGTCAGCTGAACATGTAACAGTGTCTATGTCTATAATGCATCATAAACATATATGTAACACATCTTAACACGGTATAATCATAGTTAGAAGCACTCATAAATATCGATAATGCATTATAGCAATAATCATAACACATTATGAAGCATATTATAATGAATTACAAAGTCAAGTATCATGATATACGTGCTCATTGTTTGCTTTAAGTAAAGTGAAAAATATCAAATATATTAAATCTATGCTATCTATAAGAATAATCCACAACAACTTGTACGAATACTTTTTACTTTACTAACGACTTAGTTAGTAAAAAATGTAGTAACTTATAATTACATTATAATGCATTATTAAAGTTATTAAATGTATTACATATGGGTGACCAGCAATGAAGAAGTATTATGCTATTTGGTGTTATTAGTAATTATAAAATACTTTATAATGTGTTGTGATTATAGTTACAAATCATTATGAACATTCATGAGTGCTTATAACTATAATTATGCAGTACTAAATGTAAGAATATGCTATATGAAAGTATTTGTATTGCATTATAGATATGGGCGTCATAGAAAGTGTTACCTAAATCTCTTTAACGGTGGAATTAATAAATTCAATAATAAATTAATGATATAATGCTTTGGTTTGAGTCAGAGCAGTTCTTTCAAATTGTTCTGGAAATCAAGAAGTGCTCAGAATCTCAACTCAACGTACTGTCTCAGAACGTAACAGTTATTAGTAATTAGTGGCAAAGTCATTGCTTTTCCAAAAAATCTTTCCAATTTCTGAGGAAACCATTAGGAACTACATGGAAAATAAAGTATGAGCACTTTAGCATTTGGTACATCACAAGTTGATCTTATTTCTTAAAGTAAACTCTATGAAGTGAAAAGAAGTCATGACCATGAAAGAATGTCTCCCGGTTCAGACTAGAAGGTTATTGACAGATGGAGCCTACAGAGTCTGTCTATCATCAGTCAACCCGACAGCTGCTGTCCACACTGTGGACAATTCACTGAACACACGCTCTGTCAATCATAATCATGTTTCATGTGTCACATGAGTATTACCTCTTGAGTTCATCATCTAACAGCACTGGGTGTGATTGCAGTTAGAAGTGCGGCCGCATGGCTCAACGGCACATCATGGATTAGTCCCAACAGGCAGCGTACACTCTGCATTCTAACAAATCGATGCCGATGACCATTTACTATAGAATGGGTGGTGCCACTAACTGAGCCAGTTCAATTCACAGCATAAATACAATCAGCAGTAGCCTGAAAGGGTTCTCTTGGCCTAAGACAAGGAGATTGTAAGATCCAGAAAGCCAAGAGGACATGAGGATGAGGAGAGTTAGACGTAACACAGGAACAGAAGATGTGATGTGGTATAAAACAGACACAGTGAGCTTTTGTCGGATTCTCACATTGCTTAATACAATGTGAGATTCAAATGAATTACAGTAGATGATTTAATAATGGTCTGCAGTTAATCCAATATTCTCACTGATCTGTAGGATGTGCATTACCAATACAATAGGCACTGTGTAGGTTTGTAGGTAGCTGAGTATGATGGTGCTAAAACACAACACACATCCTCTGACATGCTTCAAGTTATGACACAAATCATTCCCTTTTAAAAACATGGTTTCAAACTCCTGACTGACTCTGTTTCAGAATCCGGTGCAGTGTATGAAGTGAAGCTGGTGGCCTACAATGGCAACGGGGAGAGTGACTGCTCCAAGAGACTGGTGTCGCTGGCAGAGGAAGGCGTGAGTGACCAAGCCACTGGTGAGTATGATCACAGACCGGGTCCCCTGACACCTGTGAAGGCTGCGGAAGAGTGCAAACATATGAACTAATTTACAACCTAAACACAGCATAAACCTTCATTAATAATATGAATAGACTATCTTAATGAAGCTATTTTACTTAATATATCATTAGATGCATAAGCCTATAAGATATGAGTCAACAAATGTCTAATATTCCAATTAATAATACACGATTTGTCTATATCAAAAGAAAATGTGAGAGTGAATCAGACAAGACGTAAAAGTCAGAAAACTCGAGCTACTATTGAGAGTTCTGTTGGAAGAACATAATCTAATGTTCCGGTTCTACAAAGTAGAAATCGCTGATCATCTTCATATTTCTGAGCTCAACCTCATAAAGACATTTGGAAGGTGATTGCTCTTTTGACACATTATGCCTGGGCAGAATCCCCCCAAAAATTCATGGCATAGGAGGAATAACTCTTTAAAGTTCTATTGGCTGCTAGACAGAAAGTTTTCACACTGAAATGGCTGCAAGCAAATATCCAAAGGACCACCAGACTGCAATGCTCAATTCAATGAATCATTTGGACCGTCTGACCTTTGCCTTAAGACTATAATATCAGCAATAGGACAAAAAATGGAGCATTTCTATATGTGAAATGTGGCTGAGTCTCAGGCTTTTCCCCGTATGATGGAAGGATGTTCCTCATTAGTGCTGGTTTGTTTCCAGGAGGGGACAGTCTGTGTCAGTGCAGGGACGGAGAGGCCTCTCTTGGCAGCATCATCATTGGCATCCATATAGGCACCGCCTGCATCATCTTCTGTGTTCTCTTCCTCATGTTCGGATACCGTCGCAGGTAAGTGCCAACACACCATTCATCCTTTTTTACTATGTATTTATACACTATCGATCATTCTTGTTTAGTTATTATCCAATGAGCTATGCATCATGTTTACTGTCATATGCAAACCTGGACCAGGTGTCTTCATTGATCAGTTGGACTGGCTTCTTGAAAATGCTGCACCTTCATGAATTATTCTTCAGCTATGCTAATGTGAGGTTATGCAGAATGTGTACTCATAGCTGCAATCTGTTTGCAGTCTGTTTTGCAGTAAAGGGACTCAGGACAGCTGGTCCGTACCGAGAGACAACACGGGACACAACGGCATCCTTAAAGATGGAGCAAACCGGCCCAGTGGGGAGTCAGCACCTCAGGTACTCGCTCTCACGTTATGCTGGGCACAGTCTTCCTTTATTAAGTACAGTTTCATTACACCTTCAGGTCTTTGTTTTAGTGTAGCGACATGAAACAAACATTATGCTCTAATGGCACTGGAGGACAAAAATGTGCATCAATAGACTGCCCAAAAATTAAGAATTCATATTTATTTTCCACTTTCCCTGAGTTAAATCTTTTAACCAACTTTGGTCCTGATCATAACTACCCAATATAAATGAACCCTTCAAATGCCAGTTTCTTTACATTATGCCATTGCTATTTGTTATGAGAGAATTAAAGAATGACTTCCTATATACTAAATGTTTTTAGTACATAGTATAGTGAATGATGTCAATGATAAGCATAAACACTGATTTTGATACATTGCATGAAGAGATGCAGTCCTAATACAGCAACCAGGGAAATCGCATGCATTCGCCCCACAGGGCACACATGAGAAAACGGCTCAACCCTGTTGGGAAATAGTAAAAAGTACATTACATTACATTACATTACATTACAGACGTTTAGCAGACGCTTTTATCCAAAGAGACTTACAATAAGTACCGTTTAGAAGCCAGGGCTCAGATTTACAGCCTGATATAATAGAACACATGCTTTCATACTGTAATGGCCATACAATTGGGGTTTTAATTGGTTTTGGACATGTTTGTCCTCAAGGGACTCAGTGTCTGTATTTTGGCTACACAGTTTATTAGAGACTCATTATAGGAGCTACGGTTGAACTTCCAAAATTCGGGGGGAAAAGGTATGTCATATACATTAGCACAATAAAAATGCCAAAAATGTCACTAGATGCATAAGGGTTAAAACAAAATATGAAAATCTCAGTAAGATATTGTTAAAGTGACGTCTAAGGTCAGGAATAGCTGAGAATAACAGAGCTCCTAGAAACACAGACTTTATGGTGAGTAAACTAGGCTTCACAGATGAATGATAGAATTGTTTAATAGTCTCATTGTGACATAGTGGACAGACATGGTTAACTCCAGTGGTACTTCGGTGCACTGCTTGTGTATGTCATAAATACTGCCATATTTCAATGATATCTGATTCCTTGTCTTTCTTCTCTTTTGTCTCTTCCTGTCCTGTTCTTGCTGTGAGCAGGTGGTCTGTCCAGCGCAGTACCAGGTTGTCATTGAGCAGCACTTGTCAGCTTTGCCTGGCACGGACACTGGCTAACACTGGTCAATATTATCAACATCCACATCCCTGTCCTCCCCGCAGTCTGCTACTCACTTAGGAAACCCAAGCCTCCCATCAAGGAGCACCTTCTGTGCCCTTTGATAGGGGACAGTCATAGGTTTAGTCTGCCCAAAACCTGCTGCTAGAAACCTGACAGTAGCTTCCATAAAACTGTGACAGACTGCTTACAGAGCTAGGATACATCCTGGTCCTTTGCCACCCTACCTCAAACCAAAGCGTATTGCCTTTATTGCCTGTGCACATGCACATGTGCATGTAGAAAAAGCCTTCACAAGAGCATTGCCACACCAGATGAGGTCCTGTCGTCTTCTTTTCGTGTGCACACCACAAACACTCGTTGCTTTTCCAGTGGGAGTCTGTTCCATAACCAAAATATTATATTCCTCAGATCTCCCCTGGTAAGCTGACTTGTGAAGATGGGCACTATGGTCTTAAAACCACAAATGAAGCCATTATTAGTGACAGAACGCTTGACTTTGCCTTCAGTTCCTCTGCAATAAGAATGGGAAGAAACACAGTGGCCTTTGCAAACGCCTTATGAAGGTGATATGAAATGATTGTCTATCACCGTATGAGCCATTTAGAGGACAGGCATTCTTTACTCCTCACCCCAAATCTGCACACCTCCAAAGAAAGCTACCTCAGTCTGACAGGAATGTCTGAGCCATAGTTGAGGCCAATTCTAGCCTGATTGTGCTGCTTATGCTAGCCTACCTCAACCTAAAAATAGGGAAACCCTTTCCCTTGAGCAACTATTTCCTTAACCACTGCCAGTGTACTGTGCCAGTCACCATCCAGGCCAGTCCAGAGAGGGCTCACCAGGACCACAACCAGGGAGAGCAAAACCATGGCAGAGCCTGAATTAAGCCTTACTGTTCCAGAGATCAACAAGCGCCTTAACAACCTCCTGTTCTGTTTCTGATCTGACATCAGAAGACACCAAGGAAACCTCCATTATGTGGCTATCCATGACTTTCAAATACCCACAAGTGTCTATCTCCAAAGACATGTTTGTGCAGAGGATATAGCTCATAGAAAATATGGACTTTAATGAGTGCTTCATGAGCCATTTTTCTTCTATGAAGTCCGTCAAAGACAATAAGATCTGCACAAACAGGATGCTTGTTTGATCTGCAAAAACCTCGTGGCATACTGATGTTGTAAAGACTGTTTGAGGCCATGCTGCCAGGTTAACGCTCCAGATTCTAAGTTGGTCACTCTTGGACATCGATGACTGAGTTGGTGGCGAAAGACATTTCGAGGTGATACTTGACTGAATGCACGGACGACGCTTGTGGTTCACCTGTCAGCCGATCCAAAAAGTTCTTGTAAGAAAACCAAGCTGAATGATTCCCAAAGATGTAAACATTTTCATGGTTTTCTTTATTTTCCGTTAGAGAATTATTTCAAGAAGGACTACATTTACTCAAAGATGTTTTGGATTGTTCCTGTTTGAAGGGGTCGCCTGTGTGTAAAGTGCTTTAACTGAACCGAGCCAAAATAATTCTCATGATTTTATTATCAGTTTAAAAACAATATCTTTCTTTTTAGTTTGGTCATTGCAGGTGCACCCTTCAACATGGAACTGTTTATTTTGTTGATCCTTACATTTAACTTTTAAAGAGTAACCAAATGAAGATGTCAGATATTTTGAAAGACTTTCTATGTCAGTACTTGCTTTCTTTTTTAAAGTAGTTGAATTCTTGCCAAATATTTTGAAATATGTAACCAAATACCTCTACATTTATAACATTCAGAGTCTTTACCTTTACACTTCCTCATAACCAAAGCACAGCAACATGCTTGTGAGCGTGATTATAGATATATATGTGTGTGTGTGGGTGTGTGTGTGTGTGTGTGTGTGTGTGTGGGAATGGCTAGTAATAGGTGAACCATGACGGCAGCAGCTTTGAGAAGAAACACAAGTTGTTTATACATCGCTCTGCAAAGAAATACAACTTCATTTAAAGTCCAGCTGAAATCTAATTTTAACATTGTTTGTCTTATAAGGAGAAATTTAATTCTAGATTTTTAGACAGGACAACAGATGATTGGCATGACTACTTTGTATATATCCATTCAAATAACTTCATTGTCATTGTATTGTGATATCGCGGTTTTATCGCTGACACTGACTAACAGCTACAAAACAAGCACGACACGACACAAAAGGAGGCGTGTACGTTGCTCACCAACCCTTCTCCTTCCTTCCAGTGATAACTAATAATATCAATAATATCAATTTAAAACTCTTGGCATAATATGTTTCACTGCAAAGCGGAATATTTGATTGTGATTTCAGATGGACTTTAAAAAGGTTTCCCAACTTCGTCTCTTGACTGAAGAAATTAATATATTATGAACCAAAAGTGTTGCCTCAGCATTTACAGTCCTCAATGTTCACCTGTTATTCACGAGTGTTTTAGCTTTAGAACAGTAGAACAACATACATCTCCGTTCTGACACAACTGAAAGCTGTTAAACCAATGCGATACCAAAAAGTGTATTTGATATGGATGACCCAAAGGTCATGTGTTTTCTGTAGTGTGATGTGTGATGTGTGTAGCGGTTACACTCGTGTTTCAGATGGAAAGCTTTTGCTGCTTCTGTTTGCCTCTTTTCTTTTGTTCTTCCTGCTGTGCACAGGAAAAGTTGCCAAAGCAAATGTTTGCTTTTTTTGAAAGGTTATTATTATTATTAGATCGGATAACATTAATTATGATCATTTCAAATGTTTTCTTTTTTTGACATGTGGATGATATGAAAATGATTGTTAGGATTACCTTGTAATGGCCTTTGAGCAAGTGATGTGAGTTTTCCAGAAGGCTGGAAAGCCAAACTCATGTTCTGCCCTGAAGACCCGACTAGAAGAGAAAGAACCACAAAAGAAGAAAAAAAAAGTAGGAAAGTAGAAACTGGCTGCTAGTACCAACACTTTAATGAGTATAAGTGCTTCTCTGTTCTCTTAGATTTCCACCGGTGTATTGTAGCCAACTGAAAACCTAAAGCTTTAACCCGTTATGACTGAGGTCCTGCCCATAATGAAAAGGTTTGGAGGTAAAGGACTGACTGTAGAGAAGCTGCAGCTGTGAACAGAGATCAAGCTGTGACGTGGAAGGCTTTCACACATTTATTTTACATTCACACAAAGATGGTGTCAGTTCTTGCAAATGACAAAAACCCTCAGTTTATGTTTTATCTACCAGGGTTTGTCTGTCACTGACGCAGTAGAGTGGAAGTGACTGAAATCACCTACAATGATACAATGTAAACTTTGCAAATGAATAAATTCATTCATGAGGGATAAAACACACATTGGCTTCATGCATCACACATTTGCTGCTAATGGTATTTGGCCGTATGACCAGTAGTTTAATGTTGTAACTTTAGAGACATGTTCTTGTGTTACTGGCATTACTTACTCAGTTCACTGAGTAATGTAGTTCTTTCTCTACATTGGAGCATTTGATCCTGTAATTACCACTTGTGGCCACTGTGTTCAGCAAAAGTTGCATAGGCTCACTTTCAAATATTCAAAAGTTATACTTGTAAAACTCAACAACAGTTGTACTTCCTACTGTGGTTGAACAACCCCAATGTCTACAATGAGCACAAGGAGTAAGAACTGACACTTTAATGGTATTTATTTATTTATTTAGACTGAGAGCTAAACTAAGAAAGTCTTAAAATTGTGAAGGTAATAACAAGACAACACTACTATGACAAAGTCCTAACAAATTGCATATTTATTGTCAGTTAATATCTTAATGTTACTCGGTGTCAGCTATACTCTTCTTTGAAGCGAGGTGTTGTTTCTGTTGATAGCTATGTATAGACCAGATGACTTATTAAAGATGTGTGATAGTGGACACAGTATGTTCAGCTCTCTACTTCCTGCCAAACAACTTGGTCTCTGTGTGACTGCAGACTGCTCTACCTGAATGTCTGGATTAACTCCGAACCTTTCTCCTTCCTAGATCACATTCCAACATGCCTAAAACCAAATAAAGAAACATTTTTGAATTGAAGTTTGTCTATCTAATTTTCTTTTGTTAGCGTTCAATAGATTAGCTCAGTCAGCAGTGATAGACTGTGACCTGTCTCACCGAATGGTTGTCCATGTAATGTATCGGTTATGATACCTTTGTAACTATTAACATTATTTTGACCCTTGACTCCTGCCATGGTAAGTTGAAAGTTACTTTGAGCAAAGAAATATTTACATATATTGTATATATTTGATTGCCATCATGACTTAAATGCAGTCAAATGTGTTCTAATTTGATATTTTTTGTCATCCTAAAAAGAAAGGAAAATGTGTAATACATACATATTAGATTCAAATAAGTAACTTTGAGATAAATGCAAGTAACACAAAGACGTATTTTTCTGCTCAGGATTTGAGAATTAAAGTCCAAAACATTGGAAATTCATTTTTAACATTGGGAACTTGTATATCTCTTTCTGACCCTTCCTGGTGGATGCTGTGTGTTCATTTAGTCTCGTACCCAACAATTCTGTGTCACTGATGTAGAGTTCTCCACAGCTGTCACATGTGATGTTGTGATGATGTCATACACCACTCCAGGGTTCCTGTCAGAGTGTAGCAGCAGAGATCTTAAGATGTAGGATACTTTGTGTTTGGTGCTGAGTCCTTGTGACTTAAAGACTCGGGCTGGATAATCTTACTCTCCAAACACATTGGAGAGTCCAGCTGGGACTGGGTGGTCCCTGCTGTGTTAGCAGTGTCCCTCCTGGTCTTGTCGGGTCAGGATTCTCATCATCTACTCGTTGGCCTGAAGTAACCTCTGGTTCTGAAAGGTGTAGCCAACGCAGAAATGCCTTAAACTTGTATTACATCCTCAGTAAACATTGTAAACATGAGTCATGGTCTCGATCTCTAGTTTCAAGTCATGATGTTCATTTAGTAAATGATGGTCCATTTAGAGTCAAACAGACCATAAAGCAGAGTATGCTTTAGGGCGGGGCTACCTTGTGATTGACAGGTCTCTACCACGGAATTCTCCAGTTTGGGTTTTGTTCTTGTTTTCATCTTAGAACTTTAACCCTTCACAGTGTGATCAGATTGTGGAAGTTAATTGTAAACTTTTGGTCACCAGAGATGTCTTTTTCAGAGTTTGGTTGAACTTAGTTCCACCCTCTCACAGAGAATCAAGAAGCAAGATGTTTTTGAGGGTGTGGAACAGACAGAGCGAGTGGGGCAAGCAGCCTACCTCAGGGCCTGAGGGGCCCAGCTGGCTCAGGAGAGTCGGTCAGCAATGTGGGAGCTGGTTGTTAGTCAGTGTCATGTCCTCTTTCTGATATGTATACTGGTCTCACCGGGCGGTGTCCAGTAAGTTAAACCCTCAATTCAATAAATAACTCCAGTCGAGGCCGATGAATGTTTTTGAAGGTTTACTGAATTAAAGTGTGAAACTAAACAAAGGTACAATCATTATGTAAATATAAAAAAGAGGTGATGAATGTATTGAATACCAGTCAACAATGGAATGGAAATTAGCATATTGTCGGGAATCTGGTGCACGTAAACACTACCAGTTTCGGCCACATGGACGGCAAAAATCGAAACACATTGAAAGTTCCTTGTAGTAACTTTAAGTAACAGAAGTACAGTAAAATAAGTAGATGTCAACTTTAGGTCTCACACGGCACACCAACAACAGTCTGCTGGGTGGAAGCTGTGTTTGTTTGACCGATTCATCCCCAGGGCTGATCTATCACATCTCTCTACTGATGAAGCTCCTGAGATGCAGTTAAAAGCTCTGAGTAAGTGGACCTTTGAGTATAGATTGTTTAGTCACACATTAAGTGATATAGTGTAAGGACTCATGCTGTACTAATTCCTGGTCCAAACATGACGATTTCATGCAAGTTAAATATAGTCCATAAAACCAAATATCATGACTGATTCATTCAGGCTGCTCACCAATTCTGTGACTGATTTTGGAAGCTAACCAAACTGCAACCACCCTCACACATCATCATTCATACAACACAACTATTCTGGAAGAATTGTTCACCGCATCTGTCACCATATAGAGTGGTGAACATAAATAGACTGATACAATTCTATACACACAACCATGTATCAACATTTATAAATGTTGCAAAATATTCAGAACCCTGACGTAACAGGCATGACTGAAACACGTCACAGCTGTCCAGAAGACTTTTTGGAGTATATATTAGATTAATATTTTACATTACACATTTTTGCACAAATAAAAATGTTGCTAAAGTCACATCCAGGACATTGTTGCATACAAATAGCACATATGTTGATATGCATACAGCTTGCTGACAGACAGCAGGTCTGCAGGGTTCCACAGCTCAAAACAGTTGCTGTAGAGGGCAACAAAAGCCAAAGTTGTCCAACTTCCATCATGGATTAGCATTCACCACTGTTTAACTCGGGTTCCCACTGTGCTGGTTTGAGCTCAGATCAGACTCCATCTCCACAGCAGCTCCAGGTCTTTGTCCAGACAGGCGATCCACAGAGCTAGGTGAGGCATTGTTGATTTGGCGACCACAGCAGCACGCCACCACATCAGCGATGTCGGCCCGGAAAGATGCCGTGTAGAAACTGTAGATGACCGGGTCACAGCATGTGTTCAGGTTGCCAAATACAAACAGTATGTGGTGCACATACTCAGGTGTGTGCTGGATAATGGCTGGTTGGAACCAGTACCAGATTCCCAAGAGGTAGTAGGGAGTCCAACAGATGACAAAGGAGCTAACAATCACAATGGTCATCTTGAGGGTCTTAATCCGGGCTTTGGGTATACTGTCTGTTCCACTGCGTCTCAGGCAGTGCTCACCATCTGCACAAAGCAAAACATGAGCAAAAATGAGAAAGCAAACATTCCATAAATGTAAGCAAATAGTCTTAATGTTGAGATGGGGATTATCTTTGTTAGGGGTTGGGAGGGATGCATTGCTGACTGCAATAGTGGCTTTAAAGCTTGTGCTTGAGTTTTTCTCTTATAAAATCTCATAAAATCACATAAACAGTAAACCGGTCGTTTATCTGGGCCAGGGACGATTACCAGTCCGCATCCGAGAGACGCTGAATTGCATATTAGGGCATGACAGAGCCAGTGCACTGATACATGTTTTACACAGTTGTTTAAAAACCAACATAATAGGCCCCATGTCACACCTCAAGCAATGAGAATCAAACAAACTATAAATCCCTTTTCTGTGGACACACATTTGAACAATGGTGGGCCGTCAGGCCCTGCAAGGCCTTCTCTGCTGGCCTAAACAGAATCACAAAGCTATATCTATTTTGTAATTTAATAATTTTTCTTAAATACACTACATGTATTATAATTTATAAAAATATGTTTCCCATTATCTTATGTTCTCATTGCACAGCTACTGTCTTCCTCAGTTGCTCTGCTTCCAGTGCAGCTTGCTTTAAGTAGAGCTTTTATCCAATCAGATCTCACCTCTGTGTCTCTAGGTAAGAAGAGTGGCCCGAGGCCTGCAGACTCACAAGTGAATCCATGTGCACTTTAAGTGAATGGGGACGATATTGTTGATTGTCATAGTCTTCAACGAATCAGATCTCTAGTTTGACATGTTGGGCGTATTCTTTGACGTGTCAGAGCCTGCGAGCCGGCCTATAATGACGTCAGCATTACATGCCGCTCAGTGTCCATGTGCAGCTCTGCCGCAAGGTGCAGAGTGTGCTGTGATTGGTCAGTGGGCGAGCACGTGACTATCATGAAACGAAACTTAACAGCAGAGGCTTAGTCGGGTAGTGAATCACATCACGTGATGCAGCTCAGCCAATCAAATATGGGCATTCTGACCCGAGTGAGATGTAGCACACACCATGACACAGGGGGCTGAGACGAGGAAAGACATTGCAGAGCAGTACGTTCAAGTTGTGAAAGTAAAATCCTATGATAATCTCTTTGGGTTGCGGCTTGTCATTAAGGAATGATGGCGGATCCCACAGCCAGACCAGCTGAGAACATTATACTTTCCTGAATTTAGGCTTTTGCATTTTCTAAATGCTCTGGCATTATTCAAACGACTGGTACATAGTTACAGCCTTAAAAATGAATAATAGCTGTGGTGCCATCATGTGGTTATAAGGTGGTATTTCAGCTGCAGGACAGCAGTGAAGGCCCAGGTATAAAATGCATGGCCTGCCACTGCATTTGAACATGTTCCCAGTTAGACCTCCAGGTTTTTTTGAGAGTCACACACCTTTTCCTTTGTGCATCTGGCCGTTGATCTTGATAAGGATGCGGGTGTAGCAGAAAGTCATCACAAGTAGGGGGAAGACATACAGTGTCACAAAGTGAAACATGTTGTATGCCGTCTTCTGCCAGAGATACCGGAAACTTCCATGGGTGACACACTGAGTGAAGTCCACTCCATCAGCTTTAATGGCCCGAAAGATGAACAGCTGAGGATGAAGAGAGTGTAAATAGATGAGGAAGGAATTTCTGTCACAGAAAAACTTTTGTTTACATTCAACGAAATGTGTCTTGTATTTGTGTATACTAAACAAATTGCACAAAGATCCACACAGTGCAGGAGGTTATCTGACCCCATGTTGTGCAAGTCCTTTTAATGCACTTCAGACAAACAGAACCTTGGAGCCATCACTTGTTATTGACTGTTTTAGAGCCTGATTCAAAAGGTGTTGAAGCTAAAGTGAGCTGTTTGTTAGGACTGTTTCATGATGGGGGGGGGGGCTGCACTGGTTAGTAACTTCGTGGTGGCCTCATGCATTGACAACAGAGCTCAACTACTGTGCATTAAATGGTTGTTAGTGGCAGTGGTTTGGGTGAACACTGTGTTAATGACAGTGATGTCAAAGAAGGCCACTCAAATAAAGGTTCTATACAACAGTGTGGGGAAGAGTGTCAGATCGGAACCAGAGCCGTTACGGTAAGGACTCAGCCTTGGTGCATTGGGCGCTGGCTCCACCAGGTGAGCTACTGGGGCAAGTGTTACTGCCCAGACCACTCATCATTGAAAGGTAACAGGCCAAGACAGTATTGGATTCCAATTAAAACAGTAATTGCTCGTAAGCTATATTTATATATAACAATTTAAAGTTTTATATGTTGCTCGTTGTCAACATATCCTATGTGCAGACCTAAACTGATAATGAATGTATCCTGCTAATAGGAGGTGTGTGTGTGTATCAAGTATCATGTATCAAGGCAAAGAAAAGCCCTGGCAGGGCGCTTCATCCCAGCATTTCATCATAAATGCACTCAGAGCGCTTTCTTTTCCCTGTTTCTATTTCAACATTATCTTGATATCACCACTCTAACCAGCGCTGTGTGATGGACTAACATCGCCCCTTTGCTTTTTATGATCTTTTTGGGTACTATTTGCTTGTGGATATGTTTTTTTCCCCATGAGCATCAACCGGAGGAGGCTTGTCCAGCTGTAACTCAAGGAGGACGATCAGTCGGAGGCAACGTGTGTGTGTGGCGATCAAACACACAACACGTTCCCACAAATGGGCTTTTCGGTCACATGACAGACACCCGGATTGTAATACTGCAAACATAAAATTGTTGCAATACTTTCATCAGTGGGCCATAGGCTCAGTCACCGCTGTGTTACCTCATTAGGCCACAGATCATGTTTAAATGAAAGTATTTAAAGGTGCCTCATGTTGTCAAACAGTTATTGCTGTTAAAACAACAGTTAATCCAACCATACAGCTGAACTGAAGATGCTCTATTCTTTCTCATGCTCCAAATACACAGCTTAGAATGAAATCCTCCAGAACTGTCCTCATACTGTAGGGGTATGTCTGTCAAGCTGGACCTGTACAAGGGGCAAAATAACCTGCCTCTCAGCAGTTGCATGTTGGGATCGAGTTTTGTCACCAACAACTTTAACAGAAATAAACATAAAGAATTCAGTAATCTGCCCAGATTACTAGTCTCGGAATTCACTCTGTCTTTCCCTGCTGGACAATCTATGTGTCATTGATCTACAAAACTTGAAAAATGTATTCTGTCCAGTTTTGATGTTACAACAAATCAGCTGTCAGATGACAACATTCTGGCTGCAACTTGAAAAATAGTCGTTCAGGAATCGCACACCATTTTATGAACTTTTTAGTTGATTTCTGAGGTCATACACACCATGTTGCATAAAACAATTCATGTATAAAGCCACATGATTTAAAAAGTGTGTTCAATCTGTGGTATTGTTTGATAGTCAGCACCTAAAATCCAATCTAGTGTTAATCATATGTGCTTGGACCCTGCTGGTGAGAAGGATTCAGGCCTAGAGTGTAACCTAGAACCTACTATACCTGTGGAGAGGCCAGCAGCAGGCTCAGAGTCCAGGCCACCAGCAGCATGCGTCTGTTCCTGAGCCCAGCATCGAGAGAATCCAGAGGATAAAGGATGGCCCGATAGCGGTCCAGGCTTACTACCACTAGTATGAATGCTGCTGAGTGCATGGCAAAGAGCTTGAGGAAACACAGTAGCTTACACATGAAATCCCCTGCATACCACTGCACTGTAATATTCCAAATGGCATCCAGTGGCATCACCACAAAGGTCATCACCAGATCAGCTGATGCCAAACTGGCAATGAGCGGACGGAGGTGTGCTGCCAGGCGGTAACCCCGCCCCCAACACACACTGATCAGGACCGACAGGTTACTGCCAGCGGCAAAGACAAACAGAACCAGGGTGGCTGCTACGCGGCAGCGGGCAGCCACTGTAAAGGATGGAGCCTTCCAGGGTCCAAGGGAGGGTGGAGCAGACGAGTTCAGTAGGGAGAAGGCAGGTGTGGAAACCCACACAGACAAGTTGCCTGTCATCCTGTGACAGAGGGACAAAACAATTGACCACAAAAAAGCATAATGTAGATTCAAATCATCTCTTCAAATGCTCTGTTTTCATGGACAGGCACATTTTTATGTCAGTATTATGGCATAAACCAGTGATCTTATTCTAGCAAATGACCTGTCAACACAAACCTAACAGTCCCAGTGGGACAGAGCTTCATCTGCTCATGTGGATATTGAGTAGACTTGGATGCTGTTTTTTTAGTTTGTTTGTTGAGCAAGTTAGCAAATAGCTCTATTAATTACCATAATATATTACAATTGGTAAATACAGGTTTTAGGAGGTGAGATGATTTCACTTCTCAGGATTGTTCGGGGCATTAGCTGGAGTGAACATCACATTAACTTTTCAAATAATATCTGATAAAAAACCATATTTAACAGCATTTGTTCAAGTGAATGCAGATGCATTATTCTGTTGTGGTATGAACGATATGGTAAATTGAAAAAGTAGCACTAAGTGTCTGTGCAAAGGGAATAGGAAACTCCCCTGTAATACCCAGTATACATGCCTTGATGAGGAGCTATAGAGAGTCACCACAATATTCTATCCAACTCCCGTCTATGTTTAACCAGATTTACTCCAGAAAGTCTTGAATTTCACTACCAGTGATGTCTAGACTTTGGTGTTTAGTGTAGTGGATGTTATATCCCGTTTTACATCTCACACCACCTGATGAGGCTTCAATTGGAGTATAAGACTCAGCTTCCTCTAGCCATCTAATTGATGTACTTTTGACATCAATAGAAAGTGTGTTTTGTACTGTTATAATGTCTAAAAGCTAATGACTGCTTCAGAAAACAAATTTGCAATTAGCCATTACAACGCCTCTAACATTATCCACATGAGTGGCGCCCTCTGCTGGTGGACCACTGCACCTCTTCATGTGTTGCTGCACCAAACAGCTCGATCTTTCAGGTAACGTACGTACCCCGACATGATAGACATGTCAATAAACCCAAACAGAACTCTTCGGTCCTCTTTAGTATGACGCTCTACGTGGAGGCATTCTCCTCTTTCTGACACTTTGTTTCCATTCTCTCAGCCCCATATGTTAGACTGCATCATATCGCATATAGGGGGAGACGCACCCGCATCCCCCACCGGCCTGCACACACTGACACTAAGTTAAACATACTAAAGCATATCTATTAGCACACCGTAGTACTTTGAAGTACAGAGATACAAGTACCGGTCTTGTGTTCCTACCTGGAGAGTGATGCTGTCAGTCTCCTGGTGGTCAGATGGAGAGAGAAGCGGAGCGGAGCTGTCCGACGTGCTGATGCAGCACTTTGCCTGCAGGCTCTTTGTCCTCCGGTTTCTCCCGCTCACTTTACACTATCTGAGAAATCAACAATCAACCAGATCACATGTTTTTATCGCATCCAACTGCTCGCTCCATCAGCCCGCCTGCACGCACGCACACGCGCGCATACACACGCACACTGCCTTCTACAATGAACATTTTATACTGCGCGAAGAAGGAGCCACCAGAATCAATGCCGATTGGCTAATTGAGGCAGGTGACGTGCGGGGTGTTGCAGAGGTAGCCACCGTTGTGTCACAGAGACATCGTGGGGAATTTCCATTACATTATGGCCTCTTTTGTAAATGTTAGGAGAGACGAGATGAGTCAGAGATACATGTTTGATTTAAATACAGTTTTCACGGTGACATTCTTTACCTGCCTGCTTTCACTGACCTTAGTTACTGTCTTTTACCAAATTCTGACTCTGTCCTTGTTAAGTTTTGACTTTTCTATGTGAAAGAGCTTGCATGCTCACAAAACTGTCTATATTAATGTGTTAATGTATGTATTGATAAATACATATCTGCTTTGTGTCCTTTCCATTCTATAACAGACAGAGCTCTGGATATTCCATCTTGTAACAAGATATATTAGCACTCTCAGTGATAGATAAAAGTATCACAAGTCATTAGCATGTGCATAACTATGATATGAATTCCATTCCATGTTTTATGTGATGCCTTGCCTGCAGGCCAAACATAGACTGGTGCATTATTTGATATGGACTGAGTAAGCTGATTTCATGCCTCCATGAATGTGTTCAACTGTTACAGGAGGATCTTTACAGTTTCAGATGTCATTTATGAGGCACCCTTAGTAAAGTCCGTGGGTTCAGCATCAGTGATGGTCCTATCTCTGTCTCAACATTGAGGAAAGACCTGCAGAGTTTTTTCAATTTATCAATATACCAATACTGACTAGTCAGAGTTTTCAAAGACTTTATTTGTGTAGATTAAATATTGGTTGATTAATATCCAAAATGGTCAAAAACAGGCCAATCACTAACCAACACATCCATAATCCCATAAAGGCACTATGGCATCCCATGATCCAACGCACCATCCCCCGTGGTTACAGAACACATTTTAAAAACAAGTCAAATATTATAATTCTACTCTGCTGAATTCATTAAACGAGATTTATATATATATATATATATATATATACTATATGAGTCCAACCCTGTCTCCTACAAAATTACATAAAATAAGGAAGATAAAAAATAGATTTTGACACAGGCCCCTCCTAAATTTGAACTTCAAGAAGAAGCAGGACACGGCTTAAAGGTCTTTGTCATAGCATACTCTTACTCCCAAATTCAGAATAATGTCCACATAATGAACCTGGAGCTTTTGGGGTCTTGAGTCCCCATTGACACACTGATACTGAGATTCTTTGGAATCATTGAGCCTGTATTAATATGAATGTAACATGTACAACCGGTACACTACATTGTTATATTATAAACCTGAAGCCTCATTACAGAAAAATATCTTATCTTGACTTTCAAAGATAGGAAAAATCTTATCTTCCTATTACAGAGGCAATTCCTCAAGTCATTGCTGTTTCCTATTCTATATGGGACCTTCTTACCAACCTCTTAAACACTAGCCCTATTTTTAGGCCTCTGCTCGAAAATTGCATACCCATACTAAAGAGAGTGCATATCTCTAACTACAAGGTCCATTTTAATAATTGTGATGGTATAATACAGGTAAAACTTGTGAGACACTTGTTCAGATGTGTAAATATTGTGTATATGTTACTGGTTAATAGTGAATGAAGATGCACACAGCTCAAATTGAAAAGTTAAAAAAAAAAAGCACTTGTATTGAAAATATTTATTTGAAATAATGCAGATACAAGCCTACAAATATGCCACAGTCATAGCACAACGTGTTTACAGTCTCCACAACAAATTTTACTTTGATTGAGTGAAGAAGGCCAGCATAATAGAGGTCTGAGTACGGACAGTCAAGCCAAATTCTCGTTTTTGGAACCAGCTGTTGTGGTGCTCTATTCTAATATTATATACTATATAACTATATATTAACTATATATTCACTTGTTGTATCACTAAGAGTGTTCAATACATCCTAATAAAGCAGTTTGGCATCATTTTGAGCCATTTTGAGCTCTCATATCTCTCCTCCATGGAATTTTCTCCTCTCTGTCTGTCTCTGTAAGCCTTTGTAAGGCCTGTGATTGGCGGATTTCATCATGTGACACCTTGTTCAATGCGGAAGAGACTCACGAAAGCAGTAAGCGGGTTATTTAGTAGATTGACAGACTTTTAGCCACTAAAAATCTCAATCTGCGCGGCACAACCCCCACGCGTAAAAATCATTGGTCCAGCAGGGGAATGCTGACCATTTCGTCATAGAAGCTCCCAGGCCCTTCATTTCAATACACACACACAGTGGGGGAGACGGACTATAACGCTGACACGGATTGCAATGGATTACCTGCGTTTTTCGGCACAAAAATCATCAAAAGGTACGATGCGTTTCAATTTTTTTGCTGTGGAGTGGCTTGTTGTTCGTTGGCTTTATATATGTAACTTTTGAATGGTTTGACGGAGAGGAATGAGGAAGGCGTGATTCGACTGGTGGTCAAATCCTCGTGCTTTTTCATGTATCAATCCGCCATGCTAGCTGCCAGCTTTGTGATGGGAGATGCAAACGGAGTGCATAGGTCGCCGATTTTTGGCGAGAAATACGTGATATTGTGGTAAATCTTCTAGATATCTTCTAGATATGATATTAGTTTGTGTATAATTGTGTTTGCAGTGTGTAAAATGGCTGGTATGATGATTTTGCCCAGGCTTTTTTCGTTAATTCGGTATATAATATGTGTGGAGCATTCATTATATTTGTTTATAAAAAGTGCATTCTACGACACGGTACCACGCTAAACGGTCGTCACCTGAAGGATTTATTAACTTGAGAAATGAAACTTAAGCAGAAGTTCAGTCAGGAAGACTATCTTTTATCACTCCTTTTCATTCACATTCTCTCAGTCTCTCTCTCGCTGTGATTACTCTATCAGCTGATCGTGGGCGTTCACTTTAAAGTAACCAACCAGATTCTGCACAGTTTCCTTAAGCCAATCACATCATTCCTATAACTTAAAAGAGTCTTCTCCTCTCTGCTGCTGTCAGTTGTCATTTCAGCTCTAAGCAGATGCGACCCTCTTCCACCCCAGTCACCTCTAGTCAGCATCACGCTCCTCATTCATCATCTTCATCACCACCAGTGTCTGGACTCAGGGGGATCAGGCACTGTAATATTATTATGGTCTATTTGAGAACTAAGCAGCAGGTATAAGTCATTTGAAAATTTGCATTGAAGTCCAGTCGTGGTTTAAGTACAAGGAGCAATAATCTAAGGTCTTTTTGTATCAATGATAAAAAAAAGAAATGAAATAGTTACAATTTGGCGTGAAGTCACCTGTAGGTTGACTCTTGGAGTTAGGGCAAAGTTTAAGTTAATGAACTACTTTTTAGGTTACAGTTTTACTAGCGTATCCAAAAAGTGATGGGACCCAATGTTTCTGGTTTTAGGGGAGTTATTTTGTTGTTCATTTATTATCTTAATTCATTCTGTTATTTGTCATTGTTAATTGTTTATAATTGTATTCCCAGTACTATTATGACGTCTGTCTTCACCTGTGAATGTATAGACTTTAGCCTGTACACTTCCACTTAAAAAACTTGTAAAGGTCCAGTGTGTCCAGTGTGTAGCATTTTGGGCATATTGGCAGAAATGGAATATAATGTTAATAAGTATGTTTTTCTTTGGTGTATAATCAAATTTAAAAATTGTAATTGTGTTTTCGTTACCTTAGAGAGAGCTGTTTACATCTACATATGGAGCGAGTTCTCTTCTTGCAGCCGGCCGCCATGTCCCTACGGTAGCCCAGCACCGGCTCTATAGGGCCTTTCACATCTTCCATCAGCACACAGGAGAAGTTTCAGGTGGTTGTAATCTGAAACTTTGCCGCAAGATGCCGTAAAATCATATACAGTAGACCTTTAAGTGTTGCTAATTAAAGTTGAAGGAAACTAAGCTCAATCCTTTTTGTCTATATATTGATCTCAATTTCTAGGATTTTTTTTCGAGGGTTTTCTCGAATAAATGGAGCTCTAATCTAGAAGTCACAGCATCTTCATAACAAGCACAATGCAGAAGCCCACAGTTACACTTACAGTACAACAGCTCACAAAGTCACAAGTCCTAAATGACATTAGGTTTCACCAAACCTAATGTCATTTAAAACTTTAAACAAAGTAACAGTACATTTCATGAATACTTTTACAGTGTGCTTCTCTCAAATGCGTTCAAGACTGCAAGTGTAGTGATGCAGCGAATATACCTTTATTTTTGATTCTATAATCAGGATGTAGTCGCATAAAAGGAACTCAACAGGTTGGTCTTGCTGTGTTTGGTCGAAAAATTGATTTCAAAAGAAGTGGGAAATGTAGCTGTGATGTAAGGGTGTGTGAGTGTAAAGTTGAAAAATCTGGAGAGACGACAGCTGTCAATTTTTTTCTTTCTGTCATATTGGACGAGGTGAAGTCCCATCAGACTGGAGTACAGCAGATCAGGAGTGTTCCCAAATCATTTCAAGAATATCAAAGGTCTCAAACTCATGCTCCAGTTACACTCAGTCCACCTTGGATGACATCACGACAGTCATGGCAAAGCCGCTTTTGTTACTCAAACTATTCGACTTTGTCTGCAGCAGTGTGACGATGCAAAGTCGTCTCAAAGAATCTGAGGCACCGACAGCCTTGCCTTCATTTTTGGAGCACTTCGTATGAGTGTAAACAAGTTGAATTGATTGAACTCATTAACAGTTTTCTGCATCACCTACCGACCTTATTGAACATGACATTGATGTTGCTGATGCTGAGCTGAATAGGCAGTGTTTCTACCTTGTTCCCTCCAAGGAACGTGAACTGTTAGATAAGATAGTACATTACATGTTGGAAAATAAAAATGCCAAGCCAGCTAAATCAAGTTGTTAAAAAACAGTTCCTCAATTTTCAGATGCTGCACAGACTTGAGAAAAGTAAGGTGCTCATTCAGTGCACCTGCTAGTCACGCCCACCTCTTCAGCTCATCACTCT